TACTGTCATTTAAAGCTTAAAGGTACAACATATTCGGTAACTTAATACCGTTTTCCAATATTTTACGTAGAAGGTTTATTGATTTATTATTTACATTCATTGATTACCGTATAGTCGACGAATAGCACATTTACGCCTTGCCCTCTGATTTTTTTCTCAACTACGATCAATCCAACTACTTTCTCATTAACAATTTACTAAAAGACGAGAAAGAAGTCTAATCACATTCTACATTTAAATTTGCTTTAAAGTATAACAGTTGATAACAGATGAATACCATTTAATTCGAATTGACTAATATTTACGATAATTAACACTAGCACTACCGTACCAGTCAAAATGACTGATTCCGATGTTCTTGTTTCGCAATTACTGGCGCCTTAAAAGCATTGAACATTCAAATTGACCTTCAAAATAAATAGTTCCACTTGAATACTACAACGAATGTCCGAAGAAACTGAAACAATCTATTGTTACAATTTTTATAGGGATTACATATTAATCGTATTATCTACTCGGTAGTTCTAGTGTTAAATTCTACTAGAAATCTTCACTACGAGTCTGCTATGATATTATAGCGTATAACCCTTTGCCTTATGACAACGTATCAGACTCGTGATGAAGATTTTCAAGAGAATTTATCGAGGATCAATATTACTCGATTCTTTCAAATTCCAGTCAAACATTATTCTCCTGTTATAAATAATTATACTTTAGAGCAAACATTCACATAGAACATGTTTAGAATTTTTCTATTTTCTGACAAAATTGTTAATATCAAAGTAGTTGTATCGATCACAGTTGAGAAGTAAATCATAGGGCAAGGGGTTAATGGCGGGAACACGTGTGAGGTGCCTATCAGGTATCTTGTTTCTGTCAATGTGTGAAAGCGGCCTTACACTTGCTGGATACGCAACAGTGGAGATGTGTCGCGCGTGGGCGGGCGCTGGTAAGAAGTCCTGACTAGCGGCTGAATATTGCTGGTTTAAGGGACGATCGGTCGAGGAGGCGAGACGGGTTTGCGGATATGGCAGAAGAACGAAAACCGATGGCTGTCGCGAGCAGGAGCTCCGACGGCAGTTAGGGTAGGACTGGTTTCTTCCAATGAGAACACCGTAAGATTTCTCCTGACCGAGGGTTTACGAACGCCGGTAATGACGCCCAGGAAATTGGAAGTAGCGAAGAATTGAAATTGCTCGAGCATACGAACTAACAATTTGTCGGAAGGGGTGGCTGGGCGGGGGGCAGGGGTAAATGTGGAGCGTTTCACGTCGCGGTCGTCGATCGTTCTGTTAACGCGCACCATTCTAAAGGATTTCTATTTCTCGCCTTCCTTCCCGAGTATATCGGGGAGAATTTGATCGAACTGTTATTGGTAGCCTGTTGAAACGTTTAATAAGATTTCGAATGGCGCGACGGTCCAATGAAAATTTAACGGGAAATAGCGGCGACGCGAGTATGTGCGATTTAACGGGGAAAGAGAACAATTACAATGATTACGAACAATGTTTTTCAAATGTGTGTAGGGGAAAGTGGGGTAAAATGGAACGGTTCTTTTTGAATCGTGATAACAAAGTATCTGGAGCAATAAATACACGAAACCTTTCCTAAGAGTCTTAAGTGGACCTTTTGGCTGTAAAAAAAATATAATATTTTATATTAAAAATATTTAGCTACGTAGGAAAATACGGTTTTCTAAAGGTATTGAAATATCTACTTGGAAAAAATGGTAGGGTAAAATGGAACGCTCATGTAAAAATTCATATGAAAGTACGAAATCTTTATTTCTACTCAATCAAAATTACTAGTTGAATATATTTAATTGTTAATTGATATAAATAAACTATAAATAGATATGATTTTATGAACAGAATCACAAATAAATGTGTCATCTTCCTTTTTTGCACTGGTGCAATCTAATTAGTCAGATTTGACCTCTTTTTTGATTCTATCTTGCTACACATCAATACGATTATACGTATCCAATTGAAACTATAAATGAAGCACATAGCAAGTGACTCCTGTTACTCCTGTGCTAGAGTGTTCCGTTTTGTCCCGCGCATCATAATTTCGAAAAGCATTTAAAGTGTACAGTTTGGCATGAGATAAAGAAATAACTGAAATGTCAAAAAGACAGTTTGGAACGTAGAAACCGGTACCGTAGTTATCTTGTTCAATTGGCAAAAATTCAATTTTTGATAAAAAAAAATGCTTCAGACAGCTATATAATATTAAAACTTTGTCACTGAATATCTTCCCAATGCTTTTAATCGCAAAATAACTCGTGCACTGCTCTGAAGTCGATCTTAAACTACATCGAGAACTTATTAGAAACATGTCATGCGATATTAATTCGATACGAGCTCTTTATCTATGAAAAACACTACTGTCCCGTTTCACCCTACTTTCCCCTACTTATTCCGCAATGTGTCACGTGGACGATACATTTCATTTTTGCTTTGCTTATTGTTTGCTTTGACTTTGAGAGTTATTAACAGGTTCAGCGTGTTGAGGGTAAAATCTGTAAGGTGGACTATTTACCATTAAACTAATTGATGTACAGTTACAAAGAGTCTCAAATAATACGGTCAAAAATTGCGTGAACTCTCGTATAATGCTGTACTTCGAATACACGGTTTCTTTAAAATCTACTTTTTTGGCAATTCTTGATAGCAGTATTTTATCCTGTTCACTAAAATATTCTTCAATTAAGAAGATACGTACTGAAGTTGTATTATAGTTTGTACTGTAAATATAATAGATATGTAATTTAATGATTTTTAAAATACATACTCAAACAACACGGATTAATCGTATTATTAGGTGATTGACTGTAAGGCATTATAACGCCAATATTACTATGATTTTAATACGGTCTCTGTTCTTTAAATTTTTACTTGCTCCTATTTGTACCCTTATTTTTTCGGTTAATATGTGTTATAACAAAAATATTACTATGATTTTAACATGGCCTCTGTTCTTTAAATTTTTACTTGTTCAGGTTTGTAAACTTATTTTTTCAATTGATACCTATAATGTCAGAGCTTCTTTCACCTTTAAGTATGTAAAAGTTGTACGCAAAATCCAGCTAAGACCCCACGTTAAAAATATTAGTTGCACAAATAACTGCAAAGAAATTCGCTTCAAGAAAATGAAGAACCCTGAATAATTATTAGTTATTAACAATGAGTTATTCATTGTTCATTTATTTCAAAAATAAATCATGGAAACTATTATATTGTATTAACTGACATATTACGTTAATATTTATTTATAGATATTATAAAAATAAACAAAGCAGATGCTTATATGCAGTAGTATGCAAATATTTTCGTGAGTTTTTCTGTCAACGTTGAAAGAAAAGACAAATGACAAAACCGCAGTTTCCGATCAATAAAATAGAACAGCACAAGTAATCCCAGACGTCAGGCGTTATAAAGGTCTCAGGTTGTTTGACACGATTCAATGTAAATGTCAGACCAAGTGTTTCTACCTGGCGTAATGCGCATGTTAATTGGCCCGTGGCTACGTCGAGCAACTGTACCGGCGGCATAATTCGCTCAATTTACAAGCCTTATCACAACCGTTGCATTTAATCGCCGAGAATTAGGTTACATGGTCCGTCTAACATAGACGCCTTAACAAATCGATGCTTCCTACACATTTTTCTGCAACACAATCCATTTTAAGTGCGTACCTATTCTTCAGCGCGCATAAAAATCTTTATTTGTTTAGAAATACTCCTGCAAGTAGGAAAATATTGACTTCAGAGAATCTTCTGATCTTTCATTTGGTAAATCTATGTTTGGAATTATTTTTTAGTTATTTAATGAATTTGTTACATGCAACGTTTTATAAAAGTATTCTTTAATTTCAAATTATTCATTGTTGTCTATGACAATCGATAAATCAATAAAACGAAATATTTGTTACAATTTCAAGGAATTAAATACAATTGACGCGATTTTCTATATTTTATTGAAATAAAACTGAACTGGCCATTTGCAAAATTTTGAAGGTACGAATATAAAGTTTGTATGACACAAAATATTATGTCCAAGTATTCCTTTCTTCCAAGTTATAACTGAATTTTCATTGTTGACAAAATTTCGTATAACTTTTTCGATACAGTTGAATAGCTTTCATTTATGTAATGTATATTTATATTTTTTTCATGATATTTCATTCGTCCGTAGGTATGTTTAATTTCAAAATCTTTGTACAATGTTCCGATACTAATGTATCATACAGAAATCGATACTGCTGTATCGATGCTTTGTTTCAGATGTGGTATATTTATTATTTCAATATTTCATTCCGTAGTAGGGTCCCTGAGTTGTATCCCTTATGCCCAGATCGGTAGTACCATAACTTATGTGCGATAATTTATTCTGTAATAATTCATGTGACCTATAGCCTAACTGCCAGTGAAGTTTCATCATAATTAAATCAAGGTACTTTCTTTCAACGATAATAATAATCTATTAATAATCAAGTTTCAAAATAATATATTACCCTGAAACATGAAATAAATTTGAAAATAACTTCAGTGCGTATTACTACTGTAGTTATATTCATGGGGAATAATTCCAAAGAGAATGACAGTCGTTCACTTTCGACTGCTGTTTAGAACTGTCATTTGACGATATTTAATGTAAACTGATTGATGAAAGATTTGACGGAGAAATAAAGGAAACTTCGTAAGTGGTAGTTATTTATTTAAATCTATAAGCATTTAGCTAATACGAACCATAGATTTATAAATATTCCGAAAATCCGATGATTTCGTACTCCATTAAAAATAATTGCATCGTCTAATAAGTACTCAAGAAGGGGAAGTAAGGAAGGAACTCGATTCATCGGATTTTTAAAGTTCGTTTTTTAGAATGTTCGAAGCACTCGAGTAACTTGAAATCTTCTTAGACGAAACGAGGGAAAGTTAAGGAACAAGGAAAATCCAATTTCAGCTCCGCGGTGTGTAATAATCAAGGAATGTCAAAATGGGGAAAATGCAGGTAACATTTAAGATAATTCTCCTTCTTAAATTTCTTTGCAATCTTATTATTCAAATTTTCGTTAAATTATTGAATTACAGAGACGGTGTCAACGAAATAATAGAATTTTTAAAGAATTTTCACAAAATAAATATAGTGTTGAATAAATCTATAAATTATTGTGCACGAAATATTTTCATTGATATTTTTCTTATTATCGAAATTAATTGAAATATATTTTCACATTGACTTTCTTAAAATGTGTGTGTTTTTTTAAGAAAATTTTTCTAATATTAATACATATATAATACATATATAAATGTTTTTTATGATGTTACAACAGAATACTTTATGTAATATTTAAAAATATTTTTAATGGTAATTATAATCCTGTCCTTTTATTTATAATATGCTTTTGTTACATCTGACGCCACTATCATGTTCTTTACTACTAAACATAACAATCAAATAAAACTAAATGCTCTGGCTTAATACGAAATTTATTAATTTAAAATATACGTATTTTAACCATCAACGGTCTAAAGGCCCTAATACGGGGACATGGAAAAAATTTAGTTTTCATTTCATTTATTTATCATCGCTGTAATTTTCTTTATCAAATATTGCAACTTATTACATCGTTGATTTGTTGATCATGCACCGACAAAAAATATTTACCGTAATACAACGTTTTATGGTTGAGTATTACAAAAAAAGCTCCCAGGCGTTAAATGTTGAAGATGTATCTAAAGGAAAAAAAATCAAATTAAAAATTATTTTCTAGCATATTGTTGCCTATATAACCGGCGGTGCTCATGGTATAGGAAAAGCTGTTGCCGAGAAAATCTTCTGTCAAGGTGGTAAAGTAGTGCTGGCCGACATATCTTGTAATGGAATTAAAGTTGCTGAGAGCATGGGCGACAAAGCTTTATTTTCGTGTACCGACGTAAGTCGAGATTCTTACTGAACTCTATCCAGTATAATTCCTTCGGATAAACCGCTGCGTTACATCACATAAAATAGTATTACGATACAAGTTATGTTATCAAGACTGTTAAAAATATTTCGAGAAGGTGAACATATTTCGCCGTAGTTTTGTTGAATCTTGTACTATACACTTGCTGCTACGTTTAAAGCTTATGTAGTTCTATAAATACCATTTATATCATTATTTCGATATATTCTACACTATATTATGGAATAGACCTGGAAAATATTTTAAATGAAAAATTAAATAGAGATCATAACAATCGGGTTCATATAGTAAGTGACGATTGTTCTTTCATTCTGATAAATTAACATTTTTAAAATGTAAGTTTTATTATTTTTATGTCACTGTATGTTGCATATAAAATTAGTTAATGCATAGTGTACAGAGCTTACTGATAAGCCTTATCTTTATAACTCAACAATTTTCATAATGTTCTCTTTATCAATGACTTATTTCATACACATGTATTAATGTTATAATTTTAGATTACATAGTTTGCAATAGTAATGAAACTAAATACTTGAACAATGTAAAAATTGTTTGTCAGTAGATATCTAAAGCTTCAATCAGTATAGAAAGCTTTTGTGGAAACTATACACGCAATAACGACATACAGAGACATAAGAAAAATGTCTACGATACTTCCAAATTACTACAAATCACGTTAATTCCATATACTCAATTTAGAAGTCATTGAGAAATTATTATCATCGACATATTTAAACACGAGTTCACACAATAATTCTGTCATTACTTCCTTTCCGATATTTCGATTTGAAACTTTTAATAAATAGTACTCATCCCCACACATACGATTAATTTTTCTTATTTGTACTCTGATTTCCACTAATGAAAAATATATTTGTATACTTAGATCTTAAAACACATTGTGGTCTAAATTTTGTTTTACCTTTTACATAGTTGCCTACCTTTTCTACCTGTTCCATCCAACTCTGCCAAAATTATTGTACATCCAAATAATTAGCTCGTCTCCCATTTCATTATTACTTAAAAGTAATTTATTAAATTACTTTACAGGTGCGAGTTGAGAAGGACGTGTTGGAGAGTATAAAATGCGTGAAGGAAAAATTCGGCGGTGTGAACGTGCTCGTGAATTCCGCTGGTGTCTCCGGTATTCATCCTATATACGATTTCAAGAACAAAAAACCACATTCGGTGGACTTGTACAGATGTCAATTCGATACAAATGTGTGGGGTGTGTTTAACGTCACCCGGTTAATGGTGGGTCTCATGGCGGAAAATAAACCGGATGCGCATCGACAGAGGGGAGTCATTATCAATCTTGCGAGTATGATGGCGTATGATGCGCCACCGGAATTCGTCGCTTACGGTGGCTCGAAAGCTGCGGTTGCAGGCATGACAATACCTTTAGCGAGAGGGCTTGCACAGAAGGGGATACGAGTCGTCGGTATATGTCCTGGTTACATAGACAGCCCTATGACATGTAAGATGAATTTTACTTTTTCATCTTTGTTATTCTATCTATATTTCTAAGACAAACGGCATACATTTTATTTCACAAAATGATATTAACTCGTTACACTTGGAAGTTTTTCACTAGAAATATTTGAACATTTTCTGATGAGATAAAGACGATATTTTGTGAAACTAACTCGACGAAAAATCACACATACATTGAGAAACAAAGTTATTTTATTTCAATATTTCTCAAATTCATGCGTTATACAAAGTATAATATTAAATATCAGATTTTATAGTTTTACTGTATGAAATCAAGTGGTGAGTGAGAGTTACCTCTGATTTTCAGTGAGATTAATCTACATCATTATATATAGAAACACTAAAATATCATATTGTAATGTAATATATTTTAAATGGATAATCAGTTCTAATCAAATTTAATGTTTTTAAATGCTGTGCTAATCAGCAAAGTTACATAGCCAAGTGTCTTTATATAAAACCGAGATTTTTCGTTAACAGTATGCAGTATGTTAACAAACAGTATATTTCATAAATTTAGTATAATGATTAGAATCCAAATAAAAGCGTCAAAAGAGCTTTTCAATGAGATGAATGTCGTACTGGATCGTTTGATACTTCACTGCAAAAGTTGTCAAGTTTTAACCCTGTTAAATCTTAATAAAGAGATAGTTATGCCTTTTCACTGTTATAACATCTCGAAGATATAGGTTCCAAGTGTCAAACTTTATTATCATATATGTTATAACGTATTGGGAATGTTATGCAATTTTTGTGCTCATTCATCGTGATATTTGTTTACATAAATATATTCATTAGAAAGCAATACTATTATTTTAGCTTTCATTATTTCCTTCGTAGGGCACCAAAGAAAATTAAATGGAAGGATTTGGTCCAAAATCTTGAAATTAAGTTGTATAATAAATCGAAAAGTTAAAAGCAGAAGTAGGGTTATCAAGTTTTGTTCAATCTTTCTGATATTTCAATTGAAAAATTTCAGTTGTAAAAGATTAAAAACCTTGCCGAATTAATAAAACAGAAGATTTCTCATTTTAAAACTGTTCATGTCTTAGACATTTTCACCAATATTTTATTTTCTTTTTTTCAGGCACACAAAAACCAGAAGTCAAGAAACGCAACATCAACATGACTTTGACGCCAAGACGTTACGGATGTTGCGAGGAGGTTGCTCACCTGATTCAAGCGTGCATCGAAAATCCGATAATTAATGGTGAAAACATTCGTATTGATATGGGCTACAGATATAATCAGACAGACGATGGTCAAAAAGATGATTCGAAATGAAGAAAAGATGATGCAACTTTTTTTTATACATTTACCGCGTGCGCCTGCATTAATTATGTATTTAAGTAAAAGTAATGTGGCTAAAGCAAATACTTGTACGGTGCACGAATATACAATAGTAAACTATACAATCAAACTTAAGCCTCATATAAACAAATTTTATTCTTTATTTTCGACTTATTTCTTCGCATAGAGTCAGCTTCTATCCGGTAGTACAACCAGTTATATGACACCCTGTATAGTTAAATAATAATAATACACAATTAATAATATATGAATAACATATACAGTTACTAATATTAATAATTAACAATGATTAATAATATTAAGAACATTGTAGTATTAGTATTTAATTAATCCAAGAGCATTTCACAAAAGTTTCTTTTCCAACAACTGAGAAATAGTAGTTAGACCATTGCATATTACCACGAGTCACTCGTATAGAACTAAACAACTCCGCGGTCATACTGTTGAATATCACACAATAAAGTTTGCCAAAAAAACATTTTAACGCGGGTTGCGTAACGATAAAAATGATAGCGGACGTAAGCATCGCGAGACGCGATCAGCCGGCGGATTCTCGAGCACGTCTTGAAGACGGCATCATCAGCGAGGACGTGCAACTGCACCGCCACCTACTTTCTCCCGGATGAAATTTATGTATGGAAATATCCGCGTGAGCATTACGCATGTAGAATATCACGACCAGCAGCTGGAGGCCCTCCCGTGACGACACTTCCTTGGAAAATGTATTTTAACGCTCACGATGGAGGCGGCAAGGTGGAAATATGCGCTCGAGCGACCCTTTCCTTTCCCGCACCATTCGTTTTCTCTCGGTCGCCTCCTCCCGCCGAACCCGGAGCCAGGTTCGGTAGTCTCCATCGACAACCCTACAGGCTTCGCATCGACGCTCCGCGAGAACTACATAGTCGAGAGCTTCTTTCATATTTCCGCGTGTAGATTTGCGGTACAGGAGCGCATTCCCGCGTGCCGGAATATCCTCATGTTTTATGCACGCAAGATGACAATTTTATCACGACGGTACAGATTGTTAGCAGTGACTGGCAGCGACTCGGACAGTTCCGGTAGTCCGTTTTTTCTGGGATACGAGTGAATAGTCAAGACTAGAAAGCGTTCAACGTGTTAACCTCGCCACTGTAATTCGTATCTCGTGGTATAGATCGGTTCTGTTAATTGTCATGATCTCCATCGGGTGAATACTGTACTCGAGAAAGTCAATTGTGATGAAAATCGATGTCAATAACTGAACAGTGATTTCAAAAGTATCTCACTTTTTATTCGTTTTGGTATTTATGTTTACGTACTTGAAGTATATTAATAAAGCACGGAGAGTAATACTCGCCGCTCGATGAAAGAAACTCGTTTGTTCTGTCAGTGATACGTCGGTGTCAATGTGTTGTTATGTAGTGGATCGATGGGAAAGAGGGAATCATCCACTTCTCACGATTCATTCATTAATTTTGACATCGTTGAGTTCCGAATCACAAACTACCTCGATGGTAGCGATTCACCAAGGATGAACCTTTGAACATGACTTACTCTGATGCATAGATAACGAATCACGGTGTAGGATAGTGTCCCTTATCTAATAGTGTTAACCCTTTGCGGACGAAGATCGTTGAAAGTATACAAAACCTTCTGCAGACTCTGCTAAATTAAATTCTAAATGCTTAAATCATAGAGAATAAGAAAACTGTGTACTGATTTCTTGCTGTTCGAATAATTAAATCATTTTTTCGCAACTTGGTATTCCAAACATGAAAATTTGATCTCAGCAAAATTCCGACATTCGTCCACAAAGGGTTAAAGTGTAAATGCGAATGGGGGTGGAAGAAAGGGGATATTTTCGAAGTTTTTTCTTTTTTGAATAATATATACATAACACATTCAATCGATTCAGTTGAACAATAATGAACCCTTCGGAAACAGTACGTCTGCTGCTACGAACATCTTTTAAACATTCACCAAATTCAAATAAAACAATACGTTCATAATTTATTTGAAATGCATCTATATTTTCTACAATGTACATGTTATATGCCCTATACAAATTTAATTTTCAATTAAAAGCATCATTTATTATAATTTTTCATCTCAATCAAGAATAGATTTCACTAAATCTTGAACGTCTTGCGATAAAACACTCAGCAAACTGTCAATGGACTCTTTAACCAGTTGCAAACCTTCCTGATTTATGGCGTCGCTTACTTCAGGAACTGGGCTGCTGTTTGCCTCATTATTGTATATCGCCAGGATATTACGTTCCAGGTTAAATATGTTGCCAACAGGATTCTCACTCTGTACCGCGTTGTTTAGAGCTGATTGAATAGCAGCGGGAAGATCCTCCTCTCCAGGGGAAAGAGTTTGAGTCGTCAAATTCCTCGCTTGCTGAATTTTATCTTTTAATCCAGGAAGATCGGCCAAGTCGTTTACATCCGCTGGTTCCTCTATTTGAGGTATAGGTTCGGTGATTTGGCTGAAGTCAACCGAAGACAAAGCAGCTGCCAAGTTTCCAATAGGACTGGCATTAAGTAGCTGACCGAAGCCACTTGCTACTCCCGACAAAATGTCTCCGAGACCTCTCCGCTGCCTCGAGTTTGTTTCATCGCTGTTTTCATTGTGATTCGAGGATTTCCCTGAACGAAATGTACTCGTTGTTTAAGTAGGTCTCAATGAACTGGTTCTAGTAGGATGCATCGGACTTAGCCTAGTCGAACTTGGTGAAATTCGCAGGATATCGCAAGATTGATGACGAAGAGGAGCTTTTAGAAATTGAGAAAGTTATACTAATAGAAAACGAATATCAGCATAGCCGGAACGGGAGTAAAACAACCAGCATTAATAGGACCAGAAGCAGCTGAAACAAGCTTAGTAGAAGAAGAAGATGAAGAAGAGGTATCGCTTGTAGCAAAACTAGAAGAATGAGTTAGAACTAATAGAGTTTGTCCACTACGCTTAGAAGTTGAAGAAAAAGTGTCGATTGAACTAAAAGTTGCACTCGAAGTGATGATAGGATAAGACGTTGAGGTTGAGGTAGCTATAAATACAGAATTTGAAAATGGTTCTAATAGGATCAGAAGCAGAGGGACTACCTATTATAGCTAGGGAAGGACTTACATATTACTTTTCAATTAAATTAGATCTCGAATATTTCTTCAATTTCCATTACCTGATTGTCTTGCCGGAGGTGAAAGAATGTCCTTCAACCATCTTGCGACATCTGCGTTAATATTTCTTTTCAAATCCTCAGTCACTAAGAAACCATGGGCCAAATTGTATCCGACGTTTTCAATAGACCTTATGATATCCCTGACAATACTATTTGCCAATTGTAAGGATAGACTGAACGTCTGCTGAGCGTCCTTTTGAAAGACTGGTATCGTTTCTTTCATCCAGTTTTGAGTTTCAGTTACGAGTGAGTTTACTAGTCCAAAGCCAATTTTGAATGGTAGCTCTGCTGTTGACTTCATTGTACCCAGTCCATTCTGGACGACCTTAATAAGCCTTTTTGTCAAATCATCGGCAAGTTTCAGAGTTTGTTTGTCATCATCTTCTTCAGACGAACTTGATTGGTCTGATTGGTCAGGCTTTTTAGATGGTACAGGGTTTAAATTAGGAATATTTCCGTTCAATAATGAGGAACCAGCGTTAACCAGCTGTAAAACCAAAAATGAAATTTCTTTAGGAATTTCAGAATACTTCAACTGTATAGGAAACGGGATAATTGAGTACTTTAATTTTATAAAGCAATAATAATAATAGTAACAATATAATGTCTCGTTCGACGTCAGTTCCTTTCAGGCTGCCCTATATAGAGCGTAGGCTATTAATTAGAAGACACTAGGAACATCAAACCCATATAGTAGAATGTAAATCTTGACTTCTAATAAGCAAAGTATTAATTCTCTATTTCGAACACTTCAATAAATGAATAATATATACGAAAGTGATGAATCTTGCCATGTAGTAATAATTCTGCGAAGCTTAGCAAGAAATTCATCATTTTCAAACATGAAAGACAACGTTTCAACTTAGAAGTGGTAAATATAATTTAGAAATAATCTTTTACTGTTACTATCCTTCGAAGAAAGGAAAGGTATCGTATAATAGCGATGGCTTACCGATTTTGGAGGAAGAAGTGAGGGAAGTTGCAGGGCGCACACGGCGCCAGCAAGACCGAGGAGACACAGTACTGTTGCACGCATGTTGCACCTGCTTCTGCTTTTGCTTCTACTCGAATCTACCAGAGAATTCGCGGATATTTATACGGTGATAGCAAGCGACGCTCCATTTGCTAGAGAACGATAAGAAAAATAATAAACGAGCACCTGCGTTCACCAATAATGACGAACAGTGTCACGACTATAACAAATGATTTCGCAGGATATTGTTTCAACTTCCGTAATCTATTGTTATAGGAAGAATGTTCGATACATACGCACACTGTCGCGCATTTTCCAGAACATCATCGGGTCTTTATTAGCATACAAAACTGACAAGAAACGTGTTATGAATGCAGGAAGAATAATTGGCGTGTAGTATTAGTTTCTAATATCAATTATTGAAGGAATTATATTATATGAGCAAATATTAAATATTTTAATATGTACGATATGTACTTTCAGTAAACAGTATGCATTAAAAATAAACTAAGTTAATAATACGATATGTGTTATAACAGAAAGACGAGAAATCTTTAATACATAAATTATTATTTAAAAATACATTAATATTATTATTGACAATAATTTATATACAATTTTACAATTAAGTTAAAAATATGATGAACTTTCCTGATCAAAGTGTTCTATTTAAAATTATTAAATATTTTTATTATAAAAAGTATAGACTACAACATTAATACAACTCCATTATTTATGGTGTTATTTCTTCAACTTTTATGTTTAAACATTACTTTAATTTAATATAGTTAGTTTATGAATATGTAAATATGTTACTGAATTTCAGATATTTCAAAAGTAAAATAGTAATGGCGATGTCTTTTTACAATTATATACCTAGAAATATAAATGAACCGAAGATACGTAATTATAAAATCTACTATTTAATTATTAGAAGTTTAACTTAACTGTGTATATAAATTTTGACGAATAACTATACATGCAAAATAAATATTTTTCTTATAAACATTACTGTAATGTTACAAATTTTTTTCTTTTTTCAGGTAAAGGTAACTTTCTTCAATAATTATTAATAAATTTTCATTTTTCTTAAAATTACTAACTTCGTTATATGAACAAGAATTCTCTTCTATTTTCTAATTCATTTTATACAATGAACACACTCAATATAATATTTTCTAATTTTACTTAAGTATTATTTAATAAAGATGAATCAGTTATAAGCCTCCACAGTGTTTCTTATTTCCTCCAAAGAACTATGCACCTCTCACATCCTGAGGCAATCCTAAAGGTTAAAAAGTTACGGGGACAAGGGGACTCTTGCACTCAGGATGCTCGCGACAATAACTATAGAACAACAGTTGACGTTATTGACCGAACTGCGTGACGAAGACAGCAGACGGAACAAAATGCGACGCAGTGAGATGTAACGAACATTGACGTCAAATTTCGTTTCTACACAGCGGCGGCTTTTTATGTTTCCCCTTCCACCATGCACTTTCAGTTTCAAGGATTGACTTAGAACATGAGAGGCACATAGTACGCACAATTTATTTATCAGAAGATTTATAATTATTTAAATAAAGATGATACTTCTATTTTCGACGATTTTAATTCTGCAAGGAAACATCTAGAACAATATAAATACTGTATTCCAAAATTCAAATATTAGAACTCAGAAAATTCTTTCCTAACGTCTTATAATTCGCCTCAAACTTCAATACACTTTACATTTTTTATTTCTTCTGTATCTAATTTAAACATTCAATGTATTACCACTTTTTAACATAAATTAATAATAAATGAACTGTTACAAATTTAGTAGATTAACATGCGAACACATTAATTACACCATTTACTTAATTGATTATAAAAATATTCAAACAAAATTTTCAGTGAACTTTCGAGAAGTTGGTTTTTCAACATATATTTAACCTTTTGCGGATGAGGATTTCTTGAAGCATTGGAAACACTTCGTGATGGAAATTAAATTATACATCGAAGTCTTAAATGCGAGAGGAAAAGAAAACTAATCACTGATTTCTTGTTATTTGAAGGAATCAGTTGTTTGTTCATAACTTTGTATTCGATATATGAAAGCTTGATGTCGCTGAAATGACGACATTCGTCCTCAAAGGGTTACTTCTTGAATAAAACAAAACATTTCATCGAATAAAGATAAACAACTTTCTTGGCAAAATTATCTACCTTCATTAAGAACATACAGTGCACTTCCCTCATCTTGGCTGAGCTCAGCAAAGTTCAGAGGGGAGAGGGGCAAGGGGAAACGGACACACGCTCCATCTCGGTCCTTCCAGGAAACATAGTAGTCAAGTCTCCGTGTCCCCGGAATTCGGTAAAAGTCGCCGAAATCCGAGCATTTTCTGTTGCACGACTCGACCAATAACTTGGCGTCACTGTTGCCATAACTGCCGGGCCAAGTACCGCGAGTGAGCGCTCCCCTTGCCTCACTCCCCTCAAAAATTGTCATTTTCTGAAAAAATTTGTAGTCTTTGTTTTTGTAATTGTATTCTCTCAAAGACTCAATTTCAAAACTATAAAGCCGTTACGGACGAAAGGTAATGCAGTTGTGGCATGATTTTAGCCGAGAAGTGCCTTTCAAGGACTGCTTTACGGCACTTCCAAGTGTTTACAGTTCTCGTTCGCCTATCGGCCTCGGTAAAATCGGTAAAATGTAAATGTCGGAGATGGCCTTTACATGTATTTTTCAATATCCTAGACTTAGCCGAGATAAATGCACGGGTTTTATATAAGGAAACCACGGAAGAAGAAATTTCGAGACAAGAATTTTTATTTCAATTAGTAGAAGAACTTGTCATTGAATAGCAGAAAGTATTACAGCTAGGCAAAGAAGATCAACTAACACCCGTCACAAATACAAGTAGAGGTTCACGTGAACGGAATACATGCCAGATAAGATATTGCAAAGACAATAAGACTAACAAAATCTGTCTAAAATGTAAAAAGTACGTATGAAAAAAATGTACAATCAAGAAGCCTGTTTGTAAAAAACGTGGTGGAAACGAATAAAATGTACATTATATACTTCTGAATAAATGAAACTATATTTTTATACTGTCAAATTGGTTATTATCTTCATTCTATACTAAAAAATATAAGTTGTGCTAAAGACCGGTCATTTGACCGGTCGCGGTGGGAATAGTGTTAAGTAACGTTTATTCTTATTTGGATTGAGTTTGGGTAAGATCAGGGTGCAAACGATAAGGTACTTCGTAGTTTACCTCCCCATAAAATGGATCCACATAGATTTCATTTACTTTCTAACAGAAATGCGAAAAATAAATTTATCTAACACCAACGCTATTCGGTGTCACTAAATACGAGTATGAACAAAAGTATTTTATTTCTAAGAACAGATTTAAGAAAAGATGAACTTATAATTTATATTCTGTGTTCAAATATAAGAATAAGAATTCGACGACTTTGAATTTTATATTTGTATAGGCGTTTACAAATAACTTACTTAGTGACTTTGAAGTCAATAGAAACAAAGTAATTTTATATATTATAATCTTATAAAAGTCTTTCCTGTGGATGTTATATCTTGTAGTTAGGTACACATTTCAGGTGGAGGGTAAAGAATTTTATAGGTAATTGAATTCAATAATGTTCAATTCTTTAGGAAAATGTCGTCTAGCTATACTAACATTTATGCAAGTATCACTACACTGGAATAAAACAACACATTTATCATTTTTTTTAAATGCATCTATATTTTCTACATTGTACATATTACATGCAATAAAAGCAAATTACATGTATACTAATTAAATCATCCATTTATCATAACCTTCCGTCTCAACCAAGAATATGAGACACTGCAGCCAGAACATCTTTAATAGGGTACTCAGCAAAATCGCTTGCAAACATCTTTCAAGTATAACATTAATCACAAATACAATTGTACCGGTACGTGGCACACTTTTGTACATTTGCAAAATGATACAATAAACGAATATTATTCCACCAACAAATTTCTAACTACACATCACGTTGTTATCAGCTTATCGAATAGCGCAGGGGGTGTTTCCGCAGTCCAGGAACAAGAGCTTGAGTCGCCGTATTTCTTGCAATAGGAACTAATCATTTAATCCAGGAAAATTGATCAAGTTGTTTAGATAAGTCACGTTAATAGAAGCCTATTCCTTTTACTAATCTTACAGTAGCTATGAGGAGTTGATGGGTAGCTGAATCCCAAATTAAATGTCTACATGAACCTTCAGACTTCTCAAAATACTATCCCTAGTGATAGTAAGACGGGGTGAAGTTGGTCTACCTGGATGAGACTTAAGGATTCATTAGATGAGACACAGTTATGCATTGCACTGACATGGGGTTGTGCTCGGACGAGGCGAGCTTGATCCGGCTGGACGAGGTGGAGTTGGTCTCGAGGGAAGTGTCGGCAAAAGCGAGCTTGGTCTAGCTGGACGAGATGGAGTTGGTCTCGAGGGAAGTGTCGGCAAAAGCGAGCTTGGTCTAGCTGGACGAGATGGAGTTGGTCTCGAGGGA